GAGGATTCAGAAATATTAGAGGGAATATCCATAGGAATGATGAAAGCTACAGAAGGAAAGCTCAGACATTAGCAGCAAATATTGCTTGTCAAGTGAGGAAATGTAGTTTCCAGAGATGGTGAAGCAGAAAGGGAAGAAGGGTGGGAGGACTGAAACGGGCCCCTGAGTTTGTGTTGTTCATGAGATCCAGTACTATGCACAAAAAACTCTAACAGTTCAGTCCCTCTGTCCTCCCTTGAACTGTCTGTCCATATGCCTCTTTGTTTTTTCTTCCACAGTTGAATGACCCTGTACCAGTTTTCTAGAGCTATTGTAACAAATTGCCATAAGTATGTCTTAAAATAGAATAATTTATTGTCACGCAGTTCTGGAGGCCCAAAGTCCAAAATCAAGGGGATTCCTACTAAAGGTTCACACAGAGAACCCATTCCATGGATCTCTCTTAGCCTCTTGTGGCTAGTGGAAGTCCTTGGCTTGGAGGTCTGTCGTGTAGTCCCTGCCTCCCCCTGTGTGTGCCCTGTGCCATCTCCCTTCTCTGCCTCTTAGAAGGAGCTCTACTATTGGACTTAAGGCCCGTTGTTACCAATGATGATCTTCTCTAGAGAGATCATTAGCCCTATTAAATCTTTAAAGGCTTTTCTCCCAAACAAAGTCCCATCTACCCTAAAGATCTACCCAAGTTCAGGCAGCTCTTGAGGGAGTCACTATGGACCTTCAGGTTCAGTGACACCTACTCAATAAATTCACGTATTTAATTTCCCTTCCACTGCTCCCAGCATGCCCCCCGACCCCCTCCAGCCTTTTCTTTCTGTAAGATCATTTTGGCATTTAACATCTATGGCACTATGATCTGAAAAATATTGTGCTAGAATATATGACCACAGATTGTTTAGATTTGCCTTTTTTTGTGTGTGTCGAAAGGACAAGTGTGATGATCATGTGGTCTTAATCTGCCTAGTAGAAAATCCCATTTTGCTTAAGTCGTCAATGGATGGGTGAAAAACTAATTTATTTACTGCTTCTGGACTGGCATTATAAACTCTGGAAGAATAGCTTACTGGAGAGCTTCATGTTCAGGCATTCCATAGGTGGTTTTGTTTGTAAGTTTAAAGAAAGTAAACAACAAAGAGGAGAATGTGCTGGCATTTGGTCTTTTAAGTGATATAAATTACTGCTTTTCCAGAGAAATGTTCCCTATTATATGAAGTCAATTTCCACAGAACCGGCTATTTGGTAGAGTAACAAATTTACCCCATCCTGGAATCTCAAATAAAAAGCCCATTGTAATGCCATTATATAGCTGGTTTTATGTTTACTAGCAGTTGTCTTCAAATCTTCACTATTGCAGAGTTAAACTATTCCACTGGCACTAAAAATATATTCCCATCATAACAACAATAACAAAAATACAAAGACCCTGGTTTATGAGAGAGGTGTTTTATTGGGATGGATTCAATAAAAAAAAGAAAGAAAGAAACCGTGCCTTCCGCTCAGTATAATCTTATGGATGCCTTCCATCTTCTGATTCATGGTGGAGGTGTTGTACAGAGGATAACCACTAGGTTTAAGGAGTGTGTGTGTGTATGTGTGTGTGTGTGTGTGTGTGTGTGTTGTATTCATAGTGTATCACAAGGTACCTTTCCATTGGGAGCCATAGAAATAAACTTTGAATTCATACTGAAACAGTCACCCAGTCCTTCTATCAGGCAATAGTCTTCTGCGATGTAGACAAAGAGGCTTAATCCTAAGTACCTCGACCTTGCTGAGTTGTAACCAGTGTCTCAGTATCACAACACGATATCTTAACAAACTAAATCCCCAAATAGGAATGCCGAGCTCCTGCCATGTAAAATCTCTCGGTGTGGTATTAAAAGAGAAGACACAGCTTACACAGAGCAACAGGAATGCTATAAACATGTGATGGCAGATTTGTTTGGGAGAGAGTTAATTACTTCCTTGTTAATTCCCGATAGAACTTCGAAGGCTCTTAAATAGCTTACTTTGGGTTGTTGACCTATCTTTTTATATGAAGAGCCATATATTATTTTTTGTTAATTCTACACTTTTCCTTATAGATAACAGTTCTGATTTTCTAAATTTTCCATCCTTAAACCGACTTGATCCTTTTTAATGATGCTCATGCCCTCAATCAGAACTATGTAAACAATTCATATTACAAATTTCATGAAGACATATGTGAACATTTAACCGGCTTTGGGAGACACGCAGAGTTTAAAATGTCTAGGTGGATTTTCTTTCTTGGAGATTATCCTGTCCTAGTAACAGGCAGAGAAAATATTTCCCATGCCTGAGAGTATTTAGGAATTTCTTTGTGTGCCTAGATCTTTTTCTTCCATAAAGGGGAAATGGTGTGCATTGGTGGGTGGGTAAAAGAAAAATGATGGAGGACATGGAGGCCCTGCTGCTGAACAATCAGATCCCGGGCAGAATTCCTTCATGAGCCTCCATTCCTGTGAAAGTGCGGCCTGGGGTTCCTTTTCACTGTATCTGCTCCCTTAATTGTTTCTGCCTGTTCCATTTCATTCCTCTGTGAAAACATTAGCCTAAGGGACATTTGAAAATCAAAAGGTAGGTTTGAAGTTTAACAGGAAATGAACAGCAGTGTTACTTCTGTATTAAAGGAAAAGTTGAGGACCAGAAAGAAATCGCCACAATTCGAAACCCAACGTGTCTTTTCTCTTTTTTGTTGTTGCTCTTCCAAACGTCAAGATTAAAAGAAAACTTTGCATGAGTTCTACGTGTTTTACCCGGCAGGGTATACAAAGGATGCTGTGAGGTGTGCACTAATGGTCAGACATAGTTTATATGCAATGAAAATCCAGAGATTTTGCAGGAATTTATAAAATCCAGGATGGATTTCCTGACAGCTATAATTATTTAATTCTTTTAGAATTATCCCTCTCCACCCCCAAACCTCCTGTTGCCAGAATTATCGAGATAATTAAGGAAGTAGTAGGAAGGTTAGAATGTGAATTGTCTCAAGGACCAAACCTACCAAATAATTGTCCAACTCTGTTTCACTTGTAAGAATAGCACTCCTGTGTTGCCGTGTGTGTGTGTGTGTGTGTGTGTGTGTGTGTGTGTGTGTGCTAGTTCACTATGACCTCTAGCAGGGAAATTGTCTTCAGACAAAATAGAACTTGAACTTCAGAAGTCATTGCTTCTCATTCCAGCTGCCCATGCAACTCAGGGCCACATAGTTAACCTCTGCAAGCACCAGCTACGCTAAATGCTGCTCAAGATGGTGCAGAGATGTGACCCATATTCTCCCTCATTGTAGACCCAAAAGATGAGATAGTCCAAAGCTACTCTCAAAGATGGCAGCTTAAAATACTGAATGTTTTACGACACCTTAACAAGGAAATCAATTCAAGGAGAGCAGGGCAAGCCATCACCAAACTTGTTTAAAATGGCCCAGCCGGATGCAGGCGTTTTAAGAGTTGAATAATGAGGTGAAAAATATCAGACTTAAAAAGTGAACAAAAGCCTAGGTGTTTAAACATACAAAGTTATAAGACCATTTTTTTTTTTTTTTGGAAGTGCTTTGGGTTGACTCAAATAGACGTAATGAGGAATAGTCAGGTAATAAGCAGTTACCTTTTCCTGCCTTTCAAGAACAATGGATTTGATATAGATCCAAATTTGTTAAAAAACAATCATGATTTACGAATCAATTATCTCATGGAAAGGTGGCTAGTGTTTGGTGTTCTTTGGCTGACACTATATTTTATAGACATTTCACACTTGGAGAAATAATTTAATCAGTGGTTAAATTCATTTATCCGTTGACCACGCATTACACTCATCAGTTTTAAGAACAAGACGCTAGAACTCTTGGTTGTAAAGTTCAATGTTCGGAGGAAAGCTGGCTCTGTTACTACCTTCAGTGATCATTCTCCATGGAGAATGGAATCCTTGGGCTCTTTCTGTTCCTGGAGCGGACACAGTGTTTGTGGCAGCCCAGAGTGGGGGTGAGACACTAGGTATGGGTCTGAAATGGGAAAAGCAAAGCAAAAGAACAAATTGCACGTTAAATACTTTGAAGGGAGGGGATGTATTTTTACAGGTATCAATTATCGGCGTTACAAGTAATAAATAATGCTAAATAAAACATGTAACTAAACGGGCATTAAAGGCCCTTTACATACACAGAAGAGAAGAAAAGCTTTTTTTTGCTTCCCAAGCTGCAGACTGCAGGCATTTCCCTCTGCCTCTGTCAAGTGCAATTCTTTCTTGATGAATGACAAGGCAGGATAATAGGCTGTGGTCACCATGGCAACCAGACAGCAGCCCTGTGTGCCTAGCATTTTTTCATCTGAAAATGAAACCAGAAGCAAAGAAAAGCTGAAAATGTAACCAACAGATTAACTGATACAAAAAAAAAAGAAAAGAAAGAAAGGAAGAAAACAAGGAACAAAACCCAAGTTAGATTACAAGCCATTAAAACGGCAGTGCCTAGCCTTCCCTTCCTCCTTCTTTCTCACACACCAACCAGAGATTTTAAAATGCTATTTGATAAACACCGAGCAATAGTGTTTTATCTTTATTTTCCAAAAGGCCTCACTTCTTTTTAAATTCTAGAAATCACTGGTTTGCTTTTTTTTTTTTCAAAGAGGTGGTTAATTTCATTAAACACTGCAATTTATAAAGCATTATGCACTGTGTGTGTGCTGGAATTTCTAAATTCCTTTCCTCTCTGGTGCCTTGAATTCTCCAGAGACCTCGGGCTTCATGTGCAACAGTTTTATCTGGGGACTGGGTGGAGTGGGGAAGAGAGGGAGACCTAGGGCTGAGCGATAAGACAATTCCATATTAACCCTCGTGGATTCTATAGACTCCAGACACTAGATGCAGAATAAGCCGTGTTGCTCTTCTGTGGAGTTGAAAGAACACTGCAGATCTTTTGTTCTAGCTTCTCTCAGAAGGTGGCTGAACCCCCATAAGAGTGTTGTCTATTCTGACCTACGCCTTCATTACAGTTTTTCTCAGAGATGTTGTCTGTCTCTACGGAACACAAATAAAAAGGAAAACAGACCTAGAGGAATATTTCCCCAAAGAAACAGTCCCTGCGTTGGATATTTGTTACAGGCAAAGAGCTTGGAGATGGAGGGTTAGAGGACAGATGCCCCACCCTGAGTTCAACCTTGAACTTCAAGAGAACATGGAGAGAATCACAAGCCAAATGGTTCTCAGCAACATGATGCTCAAGTGAGTCTCACCTTAGCTCTATTGTTTGATGATATGATAATACATATCAATACTTAGCATAAATGAACCAAAGAATTATTAACCTCTCTGAGCTTTGTAGTTTTTTGTCACTGAAATAGGCAAATCTTACCTCCTTCGTGGGTATGAACTGATTCCCAAGGTTATATGTTAGAAGATGGCTGGTAATATGGCAAGAGCCAAATATTCTTCCTTCCTGTGATTAGCATGCTCAGTGTTCTAATGTGTGTAGTAGTATGCATCATGTATGTGTGTGCTGCATGTAAGACAGGTAATGAAGACTCTGCCTACCTAAACCACCTGCTTCAGAAGGCTATGGATCAAATATGTTATCCCACATGGAGTGCTTTGAAAATATGACGTTGCTCATAAATAAGGAAGATGGATCACCTAGAGATGTTACAAAATGTCTTTATAGGAAAATCCTAAAGAAAGCCACATGACTCTCCCACCTGCCCTAAGGAAAAGGAAAAGACTGACCAGTCTGAGGCTCTTCTTTCAGGAACTTCCCCTTGATGGACAAGACTGAAGTAAAGAAAGAGGCCCAGAGAGCAAGTTCACAGACACTAGAGAAAGACAGGGCATCGGATGCTGACAAGTATCTAATATGTGGCAGTATGGAGCCCTCCCAATTTTCTTCTCACATACCCAGTGGTTGCACTGGCCACCCACAGCAAGGCCTAATAAATCCTTCCTTTGTCCCCATTTCCCCAACACACACAAATGCAGAGTAAACAGTTGGATCAAAGCTTTTAATGTGCTTTGTACTGTTTTATTTGAAAAGATCAGGTCTGATATTTGAGAGGAAGAGTCCATCTGGCTGGGCTGAGCTCAAGAAGCCTCAGACAAATTGTAAACAAGACCAGGGCACAAAGTCCTCACAGCCCACAGCCTGCCGCTGCTGCCACTGCCAGAGCACTGTCCCCGCTACCTAGGTTTCCCTGACCATTTATGCAGAGGGAGTTCAGTGGATTGAAACCGACCGTCTCACATGCTTCTTCCAGAATTTTCTATCCCATATCTTGCAAGATGATAATCAATCAACAGTTCTGCCTAAGCTTCTATTGGTCTAAGGCCATACCTGTTCATAGTTTTGACATTTGTAGCACTAGACAGCATGGTGCTTCACATGCCATTAAACCCTCAGTGGTTCAAATAAACTCCTTAACAGCTGATAGTAAAAAAGATAAGGAAAAAAGATAAAGGGAGAGGAATCATTGCTTCATTCAGTGAGATCTATGTATATCTACATATATTTATATATCTATGTCTACATATTTCTAAAGCAATGTTTTTATTGTTTGCTACCTTTGGAACACAGAGGAGCAAATGGATCATGTCTTTTATCCCCCTCGGTGTTTTCACTGATCATGTGTCAGTTCCTGCAGTAACATGAGCTTTCTTCAGACAGTGGTCATGGACATATTGCTGCTTTGGCACATCCTCAAGGCCTGACAGCATGAGTGACTCATAGTAGAGACAATAATTGCTAATCAAAAGGACGAGTGTTGAAATCACACACGTGTGTTCATACTGTGGTTGTTCTATGCCTTGTCACTGTGGACAAGTTTACCTTCCTGGGTGATTTCTCTTCCATAAATTCAAAGACACGTCTTTGTATGTATATGCTTGTGTACATACATGTTCACATGTGTGTGAGTTTGTGAACATATCTGTGTGTGTTTGTGTGTAGACTAGAGGAGAGACAGCCTTAGGTGTTGTTCTTCAAACACCATCCATCTTGTTTGCTTGTTTCTCTAGAGACAGTCTTTCTCTCTGGCCTGGATTTTCCTCATATGATAGGCTAACTGGCCAAGGAGTCCCAGGGACCTGCCTGTCTCTGTCCCCTTAGCACTGGGATTATAAACCTGTGTTGCCACACTTGGATTTTTTATCTGGATTTGGGGGAGGGAACTCAGGGTCTTGTACTTACAAGGCAAGTGCTCCATGAACTAAGCTGTCTCCCCAGGCCCAAGAGAAAACGCTTTGTTAGATTGCTGTGACACACACGTGTGAGAATTCATAGTGCCTCATACAACATAGTAAGTCTAAAATAGCTATTTATCTTTGCTTTTAAAATTCAACCTCTTTCAAGACTGGAGAGATACTTCAGTGGTTAAGAGCACTGGCTGCTTTTGTAGAGGACACAGGGTCTATTCCCAGTGCCTACATGGTGGCTAACCACCCAGAACTCCAGGTCCAGGGGATCCGACAACCTCCTCTAACCTCTGTGGGCATTGCTATTCCTAAAGATTTTTCCTGAGTCTTTGGAAGCTCCTGAAGTGTTGGTAGAGGAACTAGAAGTATATGGAAGGCTCATTCCCAGGAAAGTCACTTCCTGGACCTGCTATGAAGGTTGTAGGCACAGACAAGCAAATGCCGTCTGTAACTAACTAGAACAAAGAAGTGGAAACCAGATCTCCAGATCGGAGGGAGAGTTTAGAACCATAGGGTTGCAGCAGTTGAGGGACCAAACATAGACGCACAGCAGTCTAACATCAATCAATCAATGTATAGTATAATATCATCTCCTTCATTTGGCCATTGGGCAAACAAATCACAGATGGCAAATTGATACACACAGTACTAGTTGAGATCAAAGACAGAAGCGATATTTGGATAGCTATTGAGCATTTAGCACCTATCAGACAGTGAATTAGGAGAATTCTATATACATAACCCCTAGCTTAGGAGGCTGTCACATAGCAGTGTGGCTCAGGTTCTAGTCAGACTGCCGGGGAGCCTATGCAGATCCTGCTGCTTAATGGCTGAATGACAAGGCACACTATTTAAACTTTTATGTCACAGTTTTCTCATCTGTAAACTGGGGCATAAAAATAATTTTGCCTCACAATTGTTTGTGGTCATAGAACTATTTGATCATACAAAAGGACTCATGGGGGCTAAAGAGATGCCTCAGTGGTTAAGAGCACTGGCTGCTCTTGCAGAGGACATGTTCAATTCCCAGCACCCATATGGTGGCTAACAACCATCCGTAACTTCAGTTCCAGGGGAATCTGATGCCCTCTTCTGTCCTCCATGGGCACTGCACAATACAGGTACACTTACATACAGGCAATATACTCAGACACATAAAATAAAAACAATAAATAATTCTTTTAAAAAAGGACTTGTAGGGCTGGGGATGTAGTTCAATTGGTAAAAGCACTTGCTGTGAAAGTGATCTGCATTCAAGTCCCCAGTACCAACATAAAAACTGGGCATGGCCAAGTGTGTCTGTAACTCCAGCTTTGGGTGGTGAAGGTAGGTAGATTCTGGGGACTTGCTGGCTAGCAGGCCTTGCCAAAACAATGGGTTTCTAGTTCAGTGAGAGACCCTGTCTCAAAAACTAAGATGGAGAGTGATAGAGAGTCCTCATATCCTCCTCAGCTGGCCTCCCATTCAAGCATGTAGGCATTCTTCACACCTGAACACATACATGTGCAAACACTACATACATGCACACACACATATAGGTGCACATACACACACATACACAAAAGCACTTGGAATGTGGGCAAAGAGCAAGAACTTAGCACATTTTTACTGCTGTGGTTTATACTCATTCTTTTAAGGGTAAGAAAGATAATGAACTTCTGACAGAAAAATGTGAAATTTGGAAATCTAGTCTGTCTCCTAGGAGTCTTATTGATCTCATCTGAAAATAAAAGTATGGTGATTCAACCCCAAACACTTGTGATGAGCTGTGTATTTATTTCAAGAGACCAAGATTAAGTGTCAATAGCAGCCATGCAGACATGAAGCCCAGTCTCTGAGGAGGTGATGGGATTCAAGGAGACTCAATAGCTGAGGCCAGGACAGGGCAGCAGAGGTTAGAGCCTCTGCTCTGGGATGCTAAGAGATGGGGAGGGGCTAGAAGATAGCTCTCAAGCTCAATATAAACATGAAGACTTAAGTTCAAACCTCTAAACCCATACTAAAAAGCAGATATGGTGATACACACATGTAATCGCAGTGCTGGTGTGGCAAAGACAGGTGGATCCCTGAGACTCCCTGACCTAGCCGAATCAATGAGCTATATAGTCCAGCATGAGACTCTGTCTCAAAAAACAAGGTTGACTACCCTGAAGAACAACCCTGAAGCTGAACTCTGGGCTCCACACAGATGCTGACAAATATGCCACTCTGAACATACTGGATTTCAACAGAAATAGGGATGGAGACATGATGGGGTCACCATGATCAGCACAGTGGATAACTTCCTGCAGAAACTTAGGAAGGCTAAACGAATCTTTCACACTTATAATTCAGATGCAATCACTCTTTTTACAGGCCAGCAATGAGTGCACTGGCCCAAATCCACCTTCGTCCAGGCTCTGCTTTCACCTTTTCCTTTCCACACTGCCTCCCTGTCAAGTCACATGCTCAGGGCACTCTAGAGGGAACACTGTTACTCTCTGCCTCCACCTGTCCAAGTTCTTGGTAACCTTCAAGTCTCAGTACAGAATTCTTCTGTGAATTCCCCATCCCCCATGCTGTACGCCATCTCCAGTTCTCCTGAGTGGGAGACAGCATCTGCTTTGAATTCAAATCACGTGCTGTCTTCTTAACTGTTTCATTCTTGGTTTCTTTCATTTAGAATTTTATTAATTTAGCCAGGCCTGGAGGCACATGCCTTTAATCCCAGCACTGGGGAGGCAGAGGCAGGCAAATCTCTGTGAGATCCAGGCCAGCCTGGTCTACATAGTGAGTTCTAGGCCAGATGGGGCTACAGGGACACCCTGTCTCAAAAATACTGAAAAATTATTAATTTATTATTATCATCATTATTATTATGATTACTGTGTGTATATGTATGAGTTATGTTGGTGACAGTGCAGGCACACGTGCTACTTTGAGAGGCAAGCGTGTGGCAGTCAGAGGACAGTTTTTGGGAGTTGGTTCTCTCCTTCTGCCATGGGCTCCAAGGATCAAATTCAGGTTGTCAGGCTTGTATGGCAAACATTTTTATCCAGAGCTATCTCTCTCACTCCACTCTCATTTCCTTAGAAAGGAGTTTAAACATAATATCATGTGATACATATTTGCTGTTTGTTTGACAGCTGTGTGGAGTAAAAAAAATTTATGAAAGAAGAAAGGTATGAAAAAGTAAATTTATATGATTATCTGTAGGCAGACTTTATAATAATGGCTAAGATGACCATAAAGGTTAGTGTCAATATTAATGAGTTTGAATTAGCACTTATCAACACGTACTATGAGCCAGCAATGAACTAAGACCTAGCAGAGTGAGGCAGGAGTGAATAAAGGACCCTTATTTGTCCCCCTGGAATCCACAGACCTATAGATGAGACATGCATTTATCAAATCCCAGTCCAAATATATGATTACAAACCATGAGTGGTAGAAAGAAACACATTGCAGCAAGTTATGAGAACACAAACAAAGGAACAAGATCTAATTGGGGGCAGGTCAGAGGCTTCCTTGGGGAATTGATGTTTCAATTCAGATTTGAAATGATGGTAGCAGTTGTTCATGAGCAGCACCAGGGCTTGATGGTAGGGGACTGAACAGAGTGACTGTTAACGACATCTTCCTCTGCAATCAGTTCCTAGGACTGTGTGCTGATGAGCAGAGCCCTGGCATCTGTGCTAATAATTTTAAGTGTATGTCAAAAAAAAAAAAATGGAGACAGACAATAAGAAGGATAGTTTTGAGAAGAATGTTATAGAGGAGGAGAGAGATAAGACTCAGGGGGAAAATAGCTCAATGAATAAATAATAAACCTGAGTATGTAGAAAAAAAAAAAGCCCAGGCAGAAAGGAAATGTTGAGGATACCATCAGTCTCCATCCTGGATATGGCAAATAAATCCTTTAAACCTTTAACTGTGACTTTTTTTTATTTTGCAGTTAAGCTTTCTGTGATTAGACTTGAAGCAAAGAGTTCTAACTAAAAGAAAATCCTGCTGTGCCTTACAGGAGAACAAGAGATGTATGTATCCAAGTCCTGAGCGATGTGACACCACTGCCTATCAGATGTGTGGGGTGAGAGAAGTCAAATGAATAAGGTTAGATGGGATCAAAGATGAGAGGGAAGACTGAAGTCTCTATGTCTTTGGCTCTGCCTAGATTCTATTTATAAACACCGTTGGCCATGTGCTAGAGTGGCAGAAGGTTGTTCTTAAGGAAGGAGAAGGCAGGTGGAGTTGTATAGATGGTTCATATGGTTCTTTCTTGGGGGTTAATATATTAAGATTTGAAAAAGGAGACAGAGATGGTACATCAAGACTTCAGAGACAGTACCTTAACAATTTCATTTTCAAAGAAAAGTGTTTACAGAGTGCTGTCCTAGGCTCCCATGAGACTTCAGGTATGTTTCAAAGAAGCAACCTGTCCTGAATTCCCTCCATCTGATTGAATGAACTTGTCTACCTTTCCTGGCACAGTACCATGATGATGCCGACAGCAGAGACAACTTCTGTTTGTTTGGGGCACCTGTGCTTTTAATTTATTAATTTATTTTTATTACGTGTATGAGTGTTGTGCCTACATATATGTAAGTGCACCCATGTGTGCAACTGCAGAGGCCAGAAGAAGGTGTTCAGATCCCCTGGAACTGAAGTTATAGGTGATTGTTAGCCACCATGTGGGTGCTGGGAACTGAATACAGGTCCTCTGCATCGCTTCAGCTCCTGCCTATGTGTTAAAATGTCAGTGGATTTGGACTTGAAGGCAGATAGAAGAAACGGGTTAGTGCTGAGTACAGATTTCTGAGAACAAAGAGGGGACGAGAGCAGATACATTGAGTATAAAATATGAGAGTTATCTACTTAACTCTTTCTCCAAGATAAATGGTGTTAAGAAACAAAAACAAATAGAAGTGAGTTAGCCAGGTTCTCCCTTTCACCGTGTGTCTTCTGCTGTCAAAAGATCTGTCTTTGGAGAATCCTTCTCTGAGCTGTCAAGTCTTTCAGTCTATACTCCTTTATTAAAGCACTAATACCCATGGGAGGAACCCACCTTATTAAATAATATCTCAAAGAAGAATTACTCCATCAGTTATTCTTTATTAGGTACCAAGAGAAACCCTGAGGCCCTAAAGGAAGGACACCTGAGAGAGCTGAGGGCTGGGCAGAGGCACTGACTAAGGACTGGGAGACCCAAGGGGCAATCTCATCCAGCTTCACAGTTGTGTGAAAGCCTCTGTTGGCTGACAATAAATAGTTCCCAGCCTGACCCAAAATTGCTGTGTGTGCAAACATTTTACACAAAGGAGTCACGTGCATTGATTAAACAATTAAAATATACCATATTCAGGGCATTGGCTCTTTAAGTATTCATGGAACTTCACATGGTTAGATGTTTAGCCAGAAGAAAAAAGAAAGAAAAAAAAAAAAGAAAGAAAGAAATTATAAGCTACATACCAAATGAAGAGAGTGTGAGAGATCTACTTAGTGCAAGCACGGTTGTCTCACCCACCATGTGCTGCTGTGAATGGGTTCTTACTGATGGCTTTGGGACCAAAAACAAATTGGCCAATCAGAGAACAGGTCAGCAATGCCTTGACCCCAAGTTGCGCTCTCTCTCTCTCTCTCTCTCTCTCTCTCTCTCTCTCTCTCTCTGGCCTCTACTCATGTACTGTGGCACATTCATATATACAACACACACACACACACACACACACACACACACATGCTAAGATTCAGAACTTGGTACAACTTTAAAAGTAAGCTTTTGCTGATGCAAGTTTATAAGCAAAGGCAACAAATGTTTTCAGCTGGAAAGAAGGATTGCTTACTCAGTGAAGACTGAAGCAAAACATCCTAGCAGGGTTGGAAATGGAGACCAAATAGCTCTGTTACAAAAGATGACCGATTTCCATTTCCATAACTTGCTTTTGCATGACCTTTCTAAATTTTTTTATTTTTAATTTTTTAGCATTTGAGGTACGGGGTCAAAGAGGAGAGTCATTTGACACCTGCAACTCAGGTGAACATTTGATACTTCACAGGCTATAACCCCTCTTCTCTAAAGTCCTAAAGAAGGTTTCTGTGTTCCACCTTGGGTGACAGTGTCTCAAAAAATTAACATTTTGGGTTGATAGGTGTCTTTTGTTCTTTTATTCAGGTGGGGTTGTGTTTTGTTCTGTTCTGTTTCATTTTGTTGAGACAGGACCTCATTATGTTGCTCAAGCTGGCCTTAAACTCATGGTTTTTCTCCTGCCTCAAGCTCATGAATGGGAGGATTACAGGTATGAGTCACTGCAACTGGCTGTGTATTTTTTTTTTTAATCTTTTTGAGTCAGGGTCTCCCTGTAGTCCTAGCTGACCTGAACTCACTATGTAGACCAGGCTGGCCTTGAACTCACAGAGATCTACCTGCCTCTGCTTCCCCAGTGCTGGGATTAAAGGCGTGCTATGTATTTTTAAAAATATTGAATCATTAAAGGAGTGCCAAGCAGGGTCACTGGACCCTCACCTGAGTATCCAGCCACTCTTCCCAGCCAACTAGTCCAGCCTTGGAAGACAAAAGAAAAAATGAACAAGAACCCAATAGAGGGATGCTTTTGGAAGCCCTTGTCAAGAAACCCCAAAGGACTCTCATATGAACATTTGAAAATTGCCCTGTTCTGACTTTTTTCTAGTTCCCTGTCTAGAACTTGTAATGCTAATTACTCTTGCTTTTACTTCTCCTTCAAAGCTTCTATTCATGATTCAAGGACTTTCTTTTCCTCTTAGAGACAAGAGTTATGCAATTTGGGAGTCTTAGATAGACCCACTGAAGGGGTACTCCAATTGCCTCACCCTGTGTCCCTGTTCAGCATGGAAGAAGAAAGTGGTCGGCGTCCCTATTCCCTATTGGCAATTTGGGTAACCCCTTCAGAGGATGGCGTGATAAGAATAGGATGTAGGAATTGGCTAGGCAGTTAGGGTAAAAAGACCCCCCAAAAACGTAGCCAGTTTCAGCTAAAAGTGAAAATGTCCTTGGGTCTGTTAGCAACATACTCTGTTCCAAAGGCCAAAAATGTCAAAAGTATTTGGGAGCTTGTATCTAATCCTTAAAAGATTTTAGGGCTACTTCTTCAGAGGGGGACTGTTAAAGTAGCAAAAAGCCCCATTTTACAAAAAGAAAGAGTACATAAAGTAATCAGAAAAAAGTGATGGGGAGATATGGGAGGGTTGGAGGGGAGGGAGTGGGCATGGATTTGATCAAAACACCTTACATGCTTAAGTTGGTTTAGTATAAAGCATTACATTGCTTTGGGCAAGCAAGTAAGTGGTTATATACATAGAAGATTAGTATTTAATTGGATGTAATGTATTCTAATGATTGATTTGGTTAGCCTAATTTGGATGAAAGACATTCAGTTTATGGGTGTTATTTATTTCCTTGGTAATAATAAATGAAATTCCTTCTCATACCTTGCTGATGGTAATTTGTGTGTCAGTGAAATAGTCAAAGCCTTTCCCTTAGCAACAGTGGTTTGGCGGCCAAATAACAGAACCCTTAAACATTATCTATTCCAGCCTTATGGTTTCAGATGTTACTAGACTACTCATTTTTCTTTGTCACGATGGGAAGACAAGATGAGATATCACAAAGTGAGGCCAAACACTGGAGGTCTGACAACAGGTAAGAAAGTAATAAAAACTGCCTGTGAGGAGTTTCTTTCCCTCGAAACTTTCTTGTGTTCAGTTTTGGAAACATGTCCATAAAAAAATCTCGGATCCTAGTATGCAAATTCCTTAATGATCATTACGAATAGTAAATTTAGAAAAAAATGAAAAAATGGTATCACACATTTGTAGAGTAAGGCAGAAAGCTATTTTACTACTGGAGCTGAAAATCTAGGGACGAACTTTACCTGATTAATGCATTTAGTAAACTGAAAGTTAATGGTATGGTCATAATTAACAGACATTTCTTACAGTTAATGAAATCAAAGTCAGGGGAAAACTTTAAAAAATTTTTCTATTGTTTTTGAGTGGGAGTCTAAACTGGGCTTAGTTTTATATGCACAACCAAAAGCAAGTTGGACTCAAAATTAAGCACTTTCTACCTTTTAAATTTTTTTAATTATTTGTTTATTTATTTTTATGTATGTGTGTGGTGGTCATGTGTGTTTGCATGTGTATGGGCATGCCTGTATACAAGTGCACATGCATATGTGTGGGAGTGTTTGTGGAGGCCAGACGTTGACAAGGGATGTCTTTCTTAATCACTCTCCACTTTATTTAATGTGGCAAAGTCTCTCACTGAACCCAGCGCTAGCTGTTCTCACTATCCTAGCTGGCTTCCTTAGCTTGAGCAGTCCCAATGCCTCTGCCTTAGACAATGCTGGGAGTTGGGTAGGGGGGCAGCCACACCCATCTGACTTTTAATGGGGTACTGGAAATCTGAATGCTGGTCCTCACTTGCTGGGTATGCACTTTATCCACTAAGCCAACCCCCAACTGTCGGGTTTCTATTTTGAAAGTATTACAGAGATAGAAGCAATGTACCTCCATTTACTGACCTGACAATTAACAATTTTACAAAAACTCTGAGAAGGACTTGAACTAAGAGTGAGAAGAGCTGACCCCAAGTCTGGTCCTGCAGGTCTTCATGTTGGCTGCTCAGTGCCTCCTTCCTTCATCAAGATCAGAGAATATCCTGTGTATGTTATACAGAAAGGATGCTGGATAAGGACTCTTTCTGACCTTTTAGGAGAAGTCGCTCATGGGGAATGTAAGGAGCTGTTCTTTTTTAACATCACAATCAGCCACAGATTCATATCTGCTTCTAGAGATCCAGCTAAACATAAGGTTGGCTGGGGACTGGAGAGATGGCTCAGTAGTTAAGACCACTGACTCCTCTTCCAGAGGACCCGAGTTCAATTCCCAGGGCCCACATGGTGGCTAACGACAATGGATAACTCTGGCTCCAAGGGATCTGATGCCTTCTTTTGGCATCTGTTGGCCTTGCAGGACATGGGTGCACTTACATACATGCAGGCAAGACATTCATACACAATAAATAACAGTAAATTTAAAAATTTTAAATTTATAAACATAAGGTTGGAAACAGCTCAGAGAACTGTTGATGACTGATGTTTAAGAATTCTGGAATCTGACACTGATGACGCATGTCTGTAATCTCAGTACTTGGGAGGCTGAGGCAGGATTGTTGTGAGTTCAAGTCTGGCCTGAGTATGTAGTGAGACTGTCTCAACAAACAGTAACACCAGGAATCTTGGAAATCGGGGCTATTGGAGAAGTTTAAAGGAACAGCACTCGCTTATGCTATGGAAGAAACTTTGAGGGCAGATGGAATGATGGTGTGGAATTAGAGCAGTGGTTCTCAGCGTGTCCTGCCTGTGCCTGCAGCAACAGCAAGACAACCTGTGAGAAATGCCAACCCTGGTCTCTCATCCAGATGCACTGAATGAAAGGTCTGGGTGGGGTCTAGTAGCTCTCCGTGGTCATTTTGACAGACAGTCCAATCAAAGTGCCTCTTCATGAATCAAAGTGGTTGTCATGAGGGGAAGAGCAGGGAGACAGTGAGTGATGCTGACCTTGGGAGAGCAAAGAAAAGAGCATAGGTCTGTGGGTGCTTACTCTTTCCCCCTCTTAGGTACTAGAGAGCAAAAGAAGGAAATGTGCAAAGGAATTCAGGGGAAGGCAGGGAGGCTCCTTTTTCCTCTTTTCTATCCCTCCCTCTTTTTTTCCTCTTTGTTCTTTCATTTCCTTACAAGCGAAGTACAGATAGGGACATAAGACACTTTCTACATGTGTTTGTATCTCCACGTGATTTGTTAATAGGAAGATGAATTATTAAGGCAGTAGTGGCAGGAAATGAAGCCACATATACACCAAACCCAATGGCTTTGTGTGTGTTCGTGTGATTCTGGAGAGCAAATCCAGGGTCTTACATATACTACCACTGAGCTACAACCCTAGTGTCTCACCGTATAGCTCAGGCTGGCCTTCAACTCGTCATCTATCCACTTCCACCTCCAGAGTGCTGGGATTACAGGTGCGTAACAGGACACCCAGCCTGCAATGGCTCTTAATTCCTAAATAGGAGGAATAACCATCACTTTTTAACCAATCAATGAAGGGACAGAAACAAAATGCCAATAATAACAGGAAAGAAAATAAGAAGGGAAGGAAGGAAGGAAAGAGAGAGAGAGAGAGAGAGAGAAAGAAGGAGGAGAAAGAAAGGGGAGGGGTGAAGGGGAGGTGAGAGAGGGAGAAAGAGAAGGGAGAGAGAAGGGGAGGGATAGAGAAAGAGGGAGGGAGAGAGGGAAGAAGGGGGCAGGAGGGAGAGAGGGAGGGAGACAGAAAGTAAAAGCAAATGGAGCAGAGAAGCAAGTTGTGGAGTCTCAGCAGAGAAGGAACAAGAGAAAACAAGATGAGGTATTTGATGTTTCAGACACCACTGCCGCTGATAGCCCTGGATAGCCCTGGATAGCCCAGAATAGGCCAGAGCCCTGGAGCCTGGCAGGAATTCCGTCCCCTGGGGTCAGACTATAGAACTGCTTTTTCATGATGTTCAAATCATTTTAAGAATTTGAAGTGAGTTAAAATGCCTTCTTATTCCTTTTCTTAGGCACTTTGGTAATTAAACCCCTTGGATGAGCACAAGGCACACCCCCCTCCATCATTCCTTCTCACACTGAGAATAGTTAACTCAGAAACCAGAAAGATGTGTTCTTAAGTCATATTTACTTTTACTCAATTTTTTTAGGACAAAAGCTTCCCAACACCACTGTTCCTAAATCTCTACTTTCAAAAAAGGTAATTTATCTAAAGACAGAGCAAGAAAGAAGAGATGAAGTAACTTTAAAGAATCAATGAATTCAGGCATTGTCTCCATTCCTCATGTGTGGAATATTCCCTCTTTTGATGATCTGAAGCAAAAGGCTGACCCTAGACCAACTTTCCCTTCCCACTGTTAGTAATGAGATGCTTACATAGCTGCTTCCTAGCATCAGTAGTGTGTGCGTGTGTGTGTGTGTGTGTGTGTGTGTGTGTGTGTGTGTATGCAAGAGTTATGCTGACACAGTTTTAAGGAAGACATCTGAAACCCTAACTTCTGGAAGTCACTTGAGTAGTGTGCTTCTGTTCTGGGAAAGCTGAGTCAAACTTGTGAACTTAGAGACATGTTTAGTATATGGCACTTGTTTTTAAAAGATAGCAGGGGGGCTAGGAAGATGGGGGGATAGGATAGCAGGGGGGATAGGAAGAACAAGGACCTGAGTTCAAGCTTCAGAATTCATATAAAAAAGCCAGGTGGGAAGCCGGAGAAATGATTCGGTAGTTAAGAGCTCTGGCTGCTCTTGCAGAGGACCTGGGTTCAGTTCCCAGCACCCACATGGCAGCTAACAACTGTCTGTAACTCCAGGTCCTGGGGATCAGACAACCTCTTCTGACCCCTGTGGGTATTGCATGATGTGGATGCAATTACATGCATGCAGGAAATATACTCATACACATAAAATAAAAATAAATATATTTTTTAAAAGCCAAGCGTGATGGTGCATGTCTGCAATACCAGCTCTGGGGTAGTAGAGACAGATGAATTCCCGGGGCTGGCCGGCCAGTCAGTTTAGCTTCCTTGGCAAGCTCCAGGTCAGTGAGAGACCCTGAGTGGTCGATGTCTGAGAAAAGACAGCCCAAGGTTGTCCTCTGGTCTCCACATGCCCACACAAACTGCATGCACACTCTCATGTGCTTGTACACCTGAATACACACACACACACACACACACACACACACACACACACACAC